TATATAGAGAGATAAACAATAAGAAATTACAGTAAGCACAAAAACAGATAAAGACCATTCATAATTTTTCATAAGATCTTATTTTCTCTCATTTCTCTCTTATTTTTTTCATAACTTTTCTTTAATCATATGAAAAAGAAGGGAATTTACATGGCATAACAAAAGATATGCAAAACTTAAGGAAACACAATTTTCTTAAATTTCTCAAACTTATTTGTATAGGATTCAGAATGCACTTAAAATGATTAAATGACTTAAGCTAATTCTTTTTTATTGCAAACTGTTTTAACCCCAATTAACCAAGCAAGAAACTGAGAGTCATTCTTTACTCTTCTCCCCTCCCTTAAACTCTGATTGGAACAATCCCTAAGAGTTGTCATAATTATACTATATATATATATATATATATATATATGTATACACACACACACACACACACACACACACACACACACACATATGTCCATTCTTCTCTATGTCCATTGTCATATCTTTTACATTTCTTACTCGGATGTAACATTCCAGTTCACTTTTTCCCTGACTCCAGTATTATTTCTGTCTTATTTATTCTCTGCATTGCAACCTAAATTTCACTCAACAGCTTAGAGCTCTTTGATAGTTTCTCTTTAATTTTGGGGAAAAGGCTTCAAGCACTGTGCTCTTGCCTACTAGTCCACCCTTATCTGGTTTCTCTATCTTTACTTAGCATCTCCTTCTTCCATAAATTTTCAGCAATACTCAATAGACTTCAGGGTTAGACTTCTCTTAATGCTGAACTTTCTCCAGGTTATGTCATCCATTTGTATCATTCTTTACTCATTCAATCCTTGGTTAATGCACTCTCATCATATAAGTTTCAGAATAAACATTGACTCTCTGGCTTTTCACGACTTCCGTTAGAGATTAAATTCCCTTTCTGTGTGTTCTTATAAAACTTGGCTGTCCAGTTACCTATGAGAGGTATAGTTATATTTTATAGTTCATTTCCCCTACTACATTGTAAACTACATGTGAACAATGTCCCTATTTACCAGTGTTGTAGGTACTCAATGAATATTTATTCTGTTAAAAGATTTATTCTGTTAAAAGTTGAGACAGTTTATGTTCCATAAATAAGAGAAAATGTAGCTCAGAACCAAGTAGTGACAAGAGGCTTGAATAAAAGTAGACAATATTGAGAGATAGTAGGAATTTAGGTTAGACAGTGCTTGGTTACTGAATTAATTGTGAAGGTGAGGGATGATTATACAGAGTCCAGAGTTTTTTTTATTTTTTTAAATTAATTTTTATTAGAGTATAGTTGCTTTACAATGTTGTGTTAGTTTCTGCTATACATCAAAGCGAATCAGTTATACCTATACATATATTCCCTCTTTTTTATATTTCTACCCATTTAGGTCACCAGAGAGCATTGAGTAGAGTTCCCTGTGCTATACCATAGTTTCTCATTAGTTATCTATTTTATACATAGTGGTGTATATGTCAATCCAAATCTCCTAATTCATCCCCCCCTTCCCCCACCCTTGGTATCCATGTGTTTGTTCTCTACATTTGTGTCTCTATTTCTGCTTTGCAAATAAGTTCATCTGTACCATTTTTCTAGATTCCACATATAAGTGATATTATACAATATTTGTTTTTCTCTTTCTGACTTACTTCACTCTGTATGACAGTCTCTAGGTCCATCCATGTCTCTGCAAATGGCACTATTTCATTCCTTATTATGGCTGAGTAATATTCCATTGTATATATGTGTCACATTTTCTTTATTCATTTCGCTGTTGATGGACATTTAGGTTGCTTCAATGTCCTGGCTATTGTAAATAGTGCTGCAATGAATATTAGCGTGCATACATCTTTTTGAATTATGCTTTTCTCCAGGTATATGCCCAGAAGTGGGATTGCTAGGTCAATGGTAGTTCTATGTTTAGTTTTTTAAGGAACCTCCATACTGTTCTCCATAGTGGCTGTACCAATTTACATTCCGACCAACAGTGTAGGAGGGTTCCATTTTCTCCACATCCTCTCCAGCATTTATTGTTTGTAGATTTTTTGATCATGGTCATTCTGACTGGTGTGAGGTGATACCTCCTTTTAGTTTTGATTTGCATTTCTCTCATAATTAGTGATGTTGAGCATCTTTTCATGTGTTTGTTGGCCATCTTTGGAGAAATGTCTATTTAGGTCTTCCGTCCATTTTTTTCACTGGGTTGTGATTTTTTGATATTGATCTGCATGAGTTGCTTATAGATTTTACAAATTTATTTATGTTTATATATTTTGGAGATTAATCCCTTGTCAGTTGCTTCGTTTGCAAATATTTTCTCCCATTCTGAGGGTTGTCAGAGTCCAGAGTCTTCAGTGTTTCCTCAGTATCCAACTTGGGCAACTGTACAAATAGTGGTGGTATAAATGATGTAGAGAGATGAATAGTGGAAGTAAGTATTGAAGGTAAAATTAATCGTTCAGTAATATCACATAATTAATTTTAAGTGTCCATGTTATATTTGGGCAGAGTTTTTCACTTGGCAATTAGTTAGGTTTGTAAGAGACTCAGGAGAGAGATATGTAAGTTTTAGGTCAAGATCTATGATATATATGGTGGCTGGAATCATAAGAGTAGATGAGACCATCTATCAAGTGCAGAAGAGAGCTTCTGAGAAATACACATCTCTTGGGAGAGGGCAAAGTGAGAGTGCCCAATGAAAGAGATAAGGATGTCCAGAGGCAGGAGGAAGAAGTAGCAGATTAAGATGTTACTGTTGTTAAGGTGAAAGATTTTTCTGAGATGACAAACTTGATCAACAAAATCAAATATTGCTGAAAGGTGACATAATGACCAAAAAATATTCATTCAATTTAATCACAAATTAAATGTCGGTGAATGCAATTCCAGTGCAGATAAGTAAGAAGAAAATAGCAAAATTGTGTGAGTCACGAGGTACATAAAGATAAGAAAATACAGACAGTGAGAATACATACAATTTTTGATAAACTGTACTGTGAAATTAGGAAGAGAGAAAAGGTAGCTAGAGAATTACTTGGCATCAAACAAGAGTAATTTTTAATGGGGGGGGGGAAGCTTTTTAATGGGAGGGGGCCAAAATAAAATTGCTAAAGAGGAAAACCTTAACAATACCAAAGAGATGGGGAAATGAATGGAAGATACTGAGGAAGTGAGAATAGGTATTTATAAATTATGTAGAAAAGCTATCCTTGTATGTAAAGAGAAAAAGTTATTTAGGGGTGGTTTTGCTTTATAGTCTGTGTTTTCTCTGTGAAATAAAAGTTTGATGGGAGGTGATGTCACCTCGAGATAGTCCTCATCAAATATCCTATGTGCTTATCTACATTTTTCATCCTCCTTTGTAGTTAGACTGTTTTCCTTTGATTAGTTGTGGCCAGTGGCAAAGAAGCAGAATAAAGTGTATCACTTCTGAGCTGAGGTCATTAGGAGTCAATGTCCCTCTTATCTGGTCCTCTGCTATTGTGACATTGGAGGTCACATAGTCCAGATGATGTGGCTGCAAGATGGATCAGGATCATGTGATGGGTAAGGGCTTCACTTAGTAGAGAAATAACTTACTAGTGTTTTCCACTGAGATTCCTGTGTTAAATAGATCTCCCTGTGAGAGCTCAGAGAGCAGAGCAAAGGCTGAAATGACAAAGACAGAGGGAGAGATGTTGGTAACATACGGAAGGTGCCTGGCAGATAATATATTAAATGGTAAACAAAGCTGCTGGAGTAAGAGAGAGAGTATATAAGAGATGAGAAGAAGGCCAACTGTATGTAGTATCTAGCGCTAAGGAGTGAGGAGAGAAACAACTGGAAAAAAAATTAAAAGAATGAACAGAAAGAAGCTAGGTGGTATGCCAACAGAAATCATAAGATTGTTATGAAACATAAAGGAAGGTAGTTTTAAAAGAAGCACCATTTAATGGAGTCAGTTGTTTCCCAAAGGGAAAATCCTATGGGAACTTAAAATAAACCATCTGGTTTGATGATTAAACTTTTATGGAAAAAAATGGAACCATTTCAGGAAAGTCATGGGAGAAGACGCTGTGTTACAGTGGGGAGAGTAATCAATACATTGTGAGGAAAGGTGCCTTCATTTCCAAGAAATGCCAATTAAGAAGTGAAGAGAGCATTTAAAGGGAAGGGATAATGTAAGAAAATTAAAAAATAATAATAATTAAGGAAACTTGAATAATTACTAGACAAAGAGGAAGATATTAGTGAGAGACTGAAAATCAGAGAAAGCTATCTTAAGATGTTGTTATGGACCGAATTGTGTCCCCCCAAAAATTATATGTTGAAGCCCCTCTCAATTTTACTGTAGAAGATAGGAGATAGGTCCTTTAGGGAGGTAACTGAAGTTAAATGAAGTCATAAGGGTGGGGTAATAATCTGACAGGGACTGATGGTGTCCTTATAAGAAGAGGAATAGATTCCAGAGATCTCTCTCCCTCTGCTCATAGAGGAAAGGCTGTGTGAGGACACTGCAAGAAGACAGCCATCATTAAGCCAGGAAGATTGTTCTCACCAGAAACCAATTCTTATGGTATTCAATACCTTAATCTTGGACTTCCCCCTCCAGAACTGTGAGAAAATAAAATTCTGCTATTTAAGTCTTTCAGTCTATAGTATTTCACTATAACAGCCCAACCAGACTAATACAGACCTTCGTGTACTGCAAGGTCTGTATTATACCATATATAATATACAGAAGCTAAACAATGATTGTGAGCCAGAGATTACATCTTGAACAGAAGTGTAATGACGCTTGTGGTACTCACAACTTCACGAATTTTGTCAGAAAGATGTGAAAAAAAGTCAAACAGTTCTGATAGTGGATATTTTCTTTCTGTTTCTGACATAAAGCAGTGTCTGACAGCCTCCCTGATACCCATCAGTATCGCAGTTTTGATTCTGTGGCTCCAGTTCCACATGGCACCAAGGTGCTGTGTACCGTCCATTATTGGGTTTTTTGGAGCTGTACCTATTGCCAACAGGTGGGTCAAACCACTGGGGCTCTTCTGAAGTCCTCCCCAAATTTGGACCCAGCTTCAGCTCCAAATCAGAGTTTTCAGAGAGCCCAGGGTGAGGCTCACCTGCCACAGTAGACACGTTGGCTAACGGGTTGCACTGCAGCACCCGCACGGACAAGGACACCATCACGATGCCACCGTTCTTCTTCTGCAGGGGCGAACCGGTGGACAGTCAGCTTGGCCCCCAGCACAGCCACCTGCCTGTTCACTCTCTCGGCCCCTGTGAGGAAGGTGTTCAGCCCCGGCTTTGAGGTCAGAGTCGTCTCCTCTCTGGGTTCGTGTGAATGGAGGAGCCGCAGCCCTGGTCTGGGTGGTGTCTTGGCCCTGGGTTTCCGGGTTTGGAGGAGTATCTTACCACCTAGACCCCCACCTAGGGCTCAAGAGTTCAGGGACTGTGGACCATGGGTTTTGGGGGCAGAAGATATTTAACCTGGGGTTTGAGGAAATTGAGGAAGAAGAGGCTCAGGTTCAAGGGCTCCTGGTTTGAATCTCTTGCTTTAGGTTTGAGGGCCAGGGCAGTCTCTCATCAGAAGCTGCAGGATATCATCAGGAACATTCCGAGTGTTCTTGCACACACCCCGGGCAGCTGATTGGGAGAAGATGACAGGTGCCTGTGACACCTCTAGGGCTCGCCGTGCCACAGCATCCGAGACATGGGACAAGTCCACCATCATGCCCAGGCGGTGCATTTCTGCCACCACCTTCTGCAGGGACAGGATGGGGAGAGGGCATCAGGGCTGCATTTACCTTGTGTGCATTTATCTGTAGGGAACAGGCGGGGCTGTACATTCATGTGGGGCAGGGTATGGAACCTGGGTTCTTACCTCGCCAAAGCCGGTCAGCCGACTGACATTGCTGGAGAAGGGGTGGATACCCTTTGCTGAACTCTGCGTCCTGCAGGATGCCCAGGAGGCAGTCTGACTGGTGGCTGTGACTTGGCTACAAGAGCCTAGAAAGAGGTTCTGTCGAACCGTCTACACCTGCAACTACCTGGTGCAAGAGGAGGGACCCAAACTGGGCTGTGCCTGGCAGTAGCAGGGCCCTTCTGGGGATTCAGTCTTGTTCTGCAAACCTCCATTCCCCTCCTCACCCCAGGTTCAGGGCCGGATCCCAGGGGTAAACTTGCTTTGGGCCCCAGCGTGATCTTGGGCAGATCCCTGCCTCACTGGGCCCTCACCATCTGCACTGTGCTCACCAGGGCATGTTGCAGGTGTGGGTGAGTGTCACGTAGCGCACACCCAGCGCGTAGAAGGTACGCAAGATGGAGAGGCTACTGTCCAGTGAGTGGCCGCCCTCCACACCAATGAGGCAAGCCCACTTCCGGCTATTGTTGAGAGCTGAGGGCAGGTAGGTCAGACGATCATTTTCAGAGGCAGGGGAAGCTTACTGAAGTCCCTAACACCTACCACCACCAGTCTGTTTACCTTTTTTTGTTTGTTTTTTTGGCCGTGCCGCGCAGCATGAGGGCTCTAAGTTCCCCCACAGGGGATCAAACCCGAGCCCCCTGCAGTGGAAGCGTGGAGTCTTAACCTCTGGATTACCAGGGAAGTCCCCCTTCTACCTTTAACTGAGGTCACAAGCTCCAGCTCAGAATAGGAGGCACACATGAGGCGGATGAGGTGAATTTGCTCCAGGGTGAGGCGCACAGCATCCCGTTCGTGGGTCTGGCATGGGACGTAGGCTGACCAGAACTGAGGGAAGGCCAGGGCTTAGTTTGGGCTTTGGAACTCCTTGGGGCTCAGCTGGCACAGCACTCACTGTGCTCGGAAGTCATATGTAATGTGTTGCTTTCTCTGTGGTACTTGGATGCCCGTCAGGCTGGCTCACTGTGACCCCTGTAGCCCCCAGCATCCATGGCATGACACTTTCTAGGTCACTATGGTAACTTAGTTCCAATGTGACTAACCTGTGGTCTCTGAGGCCCCCAAAGGGCCCCACATTCCCCAGCAGCCATGGTGGCACATTGTGTGTCCCTTTGGTACCTGGGCACCTCCGAGACCATCGTTCAGCCTGTCCAAGCTGGTCTGGCCATGGCTGAAATTGCGCAGATTAACATACTGTAGCCCGTTGTGATAAAACTGCCTCAGGACCAGGGGCATCTTGTTGTGGCTGGAGGGAGGTCAAGGCAAACGGGTGGGCTCCTTAGGTCTTGGGATCAGGCAGGACACATTGCCTGGCCTGGGCCAGCCTGGGGGTCCCCACCTCACACTGTCACACAGACTATACTAGGAGCAGCTGCGGCCTGGGCTGAGGGGTTCCCACCAGGGAGGGGATGACAGAGAAGCGGAAGGGCATCTGTAGATGATGGACAGGACATCCAGGGGTGGTGTGAGGGAGCCTCCCCACTAGCTCTGCATGCTCCGGACCCCCTCCCCTGCCCAGGGCCAGGCTAGGCCCCCACCGGCCCCCAGCAGCCCGCACACGCTGCAGCCACCCGTCCACAAGCAGGAAGTCCCGCATCAGGGCCCGCGTGCGCTCCCGCGGACTTGGGGTGCCGGAGGTGCCCGGCGTGGTCTGCACGGGTTACCGGCCGCAGCAGCAGACACAGCAGAGGCCGCTGGCTGAGTGCGCGGGGACCTTCCCCGGGCCGCAAGCTGCGCAGGGCCAGGCAGGCGGGCAGAGGCGGGACTGAGAGGGGCGGGCGATGGGGTTCTGCCCGTGGACTCAGGCCACCCAGCGGCGCGGCCTCGCGAGAGGGGCGGGGTGAGGGAGGGGATACAGAGGCACAGGACCCAGCGACCCGTGTGCGGAGAGCCGCGATCCGCGAAGCCGGGCAGCCACAGGGCGGCACTGCCCTCCCGCCCCCTGCTCAGAGGCAGCTCCCGCGGGCTAAGCTGGCCTCTGCTGACAGCCCACTCGCCTCCCATCGCGGGTTCCCTCCGCCCCCGCCCCTCTTCCCACTCCCACTGCTCCGAGGGGGCGCCCTAGGTTGCTCTCCCCACCTCTAACCTTCCTGTCCAAGCTGGGGTGCTTCTCTCAGAGGGCCACCTTCAGCCCGAGGCCTCCCGGGAGCACACCTCGTCCCCATCTGCCTGCAGCCGGCCCCGCCCACCCCGAGGGCTGCGTGCGAGTGTCTCTGTGGCCACAAGTGCTCTGGGCTCCCGGTTTCCCGGTACTGGGCCATGGGGGCTGGTGTGGGGGAAGAGAGAGTTTCTGGAAATGGGGGGGTAACCTTGTGAGCTCTGGATTCAGGAAGGGGCCCTCTGCCCCCGACCTTCTCTCTCCACCTACTTGACTCCCCAACCTGCATGACCATTCTCTGGGCACTTCAACCAGCACCTGGGAACTATCAGGAACCTCCCCCACTTCTGTCACCCAACCTCAGGAAAGAGCGCCCTCAGGAGTCTCTACACCTCCCCAGGGCCTGAATAGAGGGACTTTTGGGATGTGAACTGAACAACCTTCTGGGGAGAGTCAGCGACCCTTTTACTCAACAGAGCAGGAAGCCAGTCAGCAGGCTATTTGAGTGGAAGGAAATGAAGTCGTTTCCATGGCAGCAGAGCCCCCACCGCAGCAACCTTCCTCCCAGAGCTGCTGGCTGACCTTCTGGCCAGGATCCCTCCTACCTCAGCGTGGAAGGCCCGGCCTCGTGGAGAAGTATAGGTTCTGAGGAAGACCTGGCACCTGGGTTCTGCTGCTACACTTGTCTTATCTTGTGGCCCTTGTGGCTCTAGCTTTCCCAGAAACCTCAAGGGCTAAGTGCTTGTGCATGCTCAAAGGCCGCACGCCATTCCCCATTTCCAGCCTCAGGCCCTCCCCCAGCTGCCTCCTCTAGGGACCCCCTCCCCTCAACACACACACACACACACACACACACACACTGGGGATGTGCCTTCTCACAGAAGCTCAACCACTGAGATGCTTTAGGGGCTGTGCCCAAACTCCTTCATCCCCAGCCTCTCAAGTTTTGCTCTGATCCCTGGCACCCCCTGGAGCTGTTCCACCTTTGGAACCTTTCCCGGGTGGCAGGAGTGCCTAGCGCAGGGGTAGTGACCTAAGTCTGAGCACTGGTGACCCTAGAAATCTGTTACACAAAAACATTTTATTGAGCAGTAAGGGACCCCACTGGGGACAGAAAGGGCTGGCAATAAAGGAGCACGCGAACCTCGGGGCAGGGTGCATGCTGCTTGACTCTCCATCCTGTTCTTGCTTCAGGGAGCAGGTCTTCCTGGGTCTCTCTATCCTGCCTCCTGACACCCCAGGCAGGAGGCTCTTTGGGAAGCCACAGACTGCTGCTTTCCATTTCAAAAATCCCAGCTCCCCCCTGGTTTGTGGTGGTGGCCGCTGACAAAGGCTCAGGGCAGGATCCCATGTTGTAGACTGCTAAGGCTTCTCTGCACCCTGTCTCTGCTCCTGCATCCTCCTTGGCTCGAAGAGCATAGACGTTGCTTACTTCAGCTCACAAAGGGGCCCCTGAGGATTGAGCAGAGGAACGTCAGGTTTTCTTCCAGGCCAGCTTCAGCCCTGGGATGTTCAGGGCAGGCTCTCATTACAAACCTCAGTTTCTGAGGCTCCTGGCTTATGGCCGTTTAGTGTAGAAGGAGGCTCCTGGCTGGGGAAGGCTCAGACAGAACGACGCAGGTTCTAATCTGTGGCAGTGGGTGTGTGGGTGGGGTCAGTGCAGGAAGAGGCATTCGCTGCCTTAGGCAGTTAAACCATTGCCCTCTCTTCAGGATGGCTCACCTGCAAGATTCTGTGGGGTCCAACTCCTGGCACCATGTTACAATCGCCGGATTTTGGGTCTGGAGCAACCCAGGTCTTCGTTCGGCATTTCCGGAGAGTGCTTTCTCTTGGGAGCACGTCTGGGGACTGGCTTCTCTGCTTCCACCTTTGCTGGCGTGGCCAAAGGAACATCCCCGTAGGCCCGGTAGCCACCAACCAGGCAGTATGTCTCCCCATGCCGGCCCAACTGCGTTTCTCCACACCCGCGGTACAGGATATGGTAGTGACCAGGTGTAGGATGAGAAACGGGAGCCACTGCTACAGCGAAGAAAATCAGAACTGATCAGTCACTTCTGCTGTGCACAGTCTCCTGCCAGAATTTCCCTCTCTCATGTCTCTCCCAGTTTCTGGCTGAAGGCCTTTAAGCTACTTGACATCGAAAACACAGCCTTGGCCCATCACCTCTATTGGTCCCAAGAGAAGGGACACTGACTGCAAAAGCAATCCCTAGAGCCTAGGGCTGCAGCAGATGAGGAAGTCTCTTCACTGTTTCCAGGGAAAACAGTAGAACCCGAAAATAATGGCAATCATGATCCTCTCCATCTCTCCCTTCCACAACAGAGAAAACATTTCTTGCAGTCTGTCACTTCTGAGGCTTTAATGGAAGTGTCCTTCAAGTTTTGGAAAAAAATAATCTAATATAAATTGGTTAAGAACCCCGCCCACCTTGGCAACCCCTCTTGGGCCCCATGTATACTGCCTGTTGCAACCACACTGAACTCTAGCCCTCTGATACTTTTATGTAGATTAGAACAAGGCCAAATACTGAGGCAGAGTGATCAGGAGACTCAGAACCGGGTTCTGGGTACCAAGTCTAGGCTCACATCAACCCAGCCTCCTGGGACACCATCTCCTCAGCCCTCCAGTCTCATTAGCACTTCATCACCCCCCTTGGTTCTTCCGGTCTTCCCATCAATACAGCATCACCCTCTCCCCTAGTACTCAGCAACTCACTATGGGATGTGTCTGAGGGGACTGATATAGACGCCTACGTGATAGCACAGAGGTGTCTGCGTTTGAAGGTGCGGTTCAAGAATGGCCCTCTTCCTCAAACTGCTCCATTTAGCATTTGCCAACAAAAATGCACTTGTCTTTTGCTAAGAGGCCAATCAGGAAAGGGTCTGAATGGAAGCATCCTGTAGCCCAAAGGGGAAGGCTACATTTATAAAGCTCAGAAACTTCCTGCACACTTGTCCAGGGATGACCTTTCACTTGTCCTCAGCAGTGAGCACTGTGGGGCACTGAAAGTGTCCCAGGTCACTGGTAATACTTAGAGCTGGGAAAGTGCTCAGGTGTATGTGGTGGGCAAGCCCCACAGGAACATGTGGCAGCCAGGGGAGGTTGTGTGTACACCACGTGTCTTGTACAGGTGCCCGGTCTCAGTGTACCTGCTGCACTGCCCTCCCAGGGAACAGTGAACAGGTTATAGTAAATATAGAAGATCTGGTCAGATATTCTCTCTCAGACAAACAAAGAGATTGATATCTGGTGGAGAACTTTCTCCAGGGAAAGAAGGTCCCTCCAGTGTAGGGAAGTTTCTCTGAGGACAGCACGTTTGCATAGTTACCCTGCCATGCAAACTGTCAGAAGGCCTGTGAGGGCATCACTACCCAGTGAAGTCATATAAGGAACCTGTGACTTGCAGGGCGGGCTTCAGGAGGAGGGACAGTTTTGTGGAGGAGAGCAGAGTGGAGGCTGAGGTACTCTGCCTGGCCTCTCACACCTGGGCCTTCCCACCCATGCCCTAGTCTAGTAGACACTGCATTTGGGGTGTGCCGGTGGGCTAGCCAATCCCCAGGGGCCCCAGGAGGGCAAGAGAGACCCACATTGTGAGATTGGCTTGAGAAGCAAGATTAACGTAAGAGACAGCTAGGTTGTATGGCACTGACCCTAAGAGGTAGAGATTTGTGTGGCCTGGGGAATCAGGGAAGGCTCCTTGGCAGTGGGCCTGAAGGACAAGTGAGATTTGGACCCACGGGGAAGAGAGGGAAGACATTCCAGTTTGGAAGAATAAAAGCAAAGACACACTCTTCTCGACCTTGTCCTGCCCCAAATATAAATTCATAGCACCCTCACAGTGTTACAACTGAGGACTTAAAAAAACCAAGAGCTTAAGGGGCCTACCCAGTGTTACACAGGTAGTGCAGAGGTGTTCGGCTCAATGGTTAGGTTCATTTGGGGACTCTGGATTTAAAGCTGATAGGAATGTGAGGACAAGCTCATGCCATTTCAAACATTTCCAAGTGATACTGAGAGAGATGTTAAAGATGCGAAATGAGGGTGCTGAATGACCTCACAAAGTGGGAATGGTGGGCCCATTTTAACATGAAATTGAAAAGAAATTCATGACAAAAGGACATAATACAAAATGACACCATAATCATAACACTCCCCTCTCCCCTGGAAGTAAAATTCATTAGAATCCTCTCTCTCTCTACTATGAAAGGATGAGATAAAGACTCAGCAGCAGCTCTCATGAAAAACATGGTCAACAGTGTGAAGAGGTGTTTCTAAGACGATTTGGTCCGACTCAGAGACGGAAAGAAACAACTCTGCCCTTAGCCTGATCAGGTTCACGGGAAGGAACATTTGGGGCAGCCTTTGATAGTGCGGCAATGAGAGAGAACCTTCATTAGGAGGGGACTCCCTGTTGCCGACCTTGAAAAAGCAAAGATGGGACATTCGTTTACTGGGGCTGTTGCAGAGGCGATGTGCCCAGGAGGTAGAGACTGCTTCGACTACCATTTTAGAGGTTGGGCCACCCTGGTTGAAACCCACAGCACCTTCTATTCCTAAACTGCTTGAATCAGCGGATGCACGTTAGGACACACGAAGTCAGGCCCCATTGGAGCAGACTGCCTTTGGGAGTGGTAGAATGTAAACTGTGAAGGGGAATGCTCTGGAGGAGCTTTGTCATGGCAGGTGGGCCAGCATGAGACCATTCAGACTCTCCAAGGCTCCAGAGATTAATTGGCTGGGAGCATCCCTCTGATGTGGTGGGGGGACTCCTACCTTAACAGGACCTGGCTGGGCATCTGGCAGAGGCAGAATAAATGGTTTATTAACTTACAAGAGTGAGAGACTCACCTGTGGGTTTCCACAAAAACACTTAAAAAGACTTGTACCTGGATTCTTGAGCCAACCC